AAATTGATCGTTCACCTCAGGATATTTAACCTAACATTTACATAGTGCTTACTACGTGCCAGGCACTGTGCTAAGTGCTTTACAATTATTTATCTCATTTGATCCTCACAACAACCCGGTAAGGTAGGTTCTGTTATTATTCCCATTTTATAGAAGATGAAACTGAGGCAGACAGGGGTTAAGTGACTTGCCCAGGATCACATGGAGAATAAGTATCTGAGGCTGGATTTGAACTCAGATCCTCCTGACTCCAGGCCCAACATTTTGTGTGTTGTGCCACCTGAACAGGTCACTGAACCACTCTGGGCTTTAGTTTTTATTATCTGTACAGTGAGGGAATTATGCTAGATGAACTCCGAACTTCCTGCCAACTCTAAGTCTATAGTTTTATTTAATTTACAAAATCATTCTTACATTTCTTTTCCACAGCTTGTGTTCTTTGCTTTAGTTTCCTATTCATAGTAAACTAAAAATCTTTTTTTCCAAATTCTCCACTCTAGTATCACACAGATTTTAACCACTATCTTTGATATGACTAGAAAATGATTTAATTGCCAAAGCTTCAATAGTCAGGAACTGAGAAAGAGAAAATAAATCTCAGGCAACTTGCTACTTTTTCTCTACATTGCAGCAGGTTGTTTTACTCCAGGATATTGGAGAATGTGATATTCTCCTTTCCTAGTCTCACCCACCAAGTCCTTTCCTTTCAGCCGTCTTCCATCAACATCAAACTGACTATAATTTTATTTTTAGATAGCACTTTTTATTTCATTAGTGCGTAAACTCACAGTAAGCTCCCTCTACCGATGCTGGCAGTCACCTGTTTTACAACCTATTAGTCCCAGAGAGCTGCCTAGGCAAGTGAAGTATTAAATGCTGTGTCTAGGGTCACACAGCCAGTATTCCAGAGTTGAAACTCAAATTCATCTTCTTGACTCTGCGGTTTGTCCCTTTACCAACTATGCCACATTTATAAGTTTAACTTGAATAGACATGTATTTAAGGACAGCAAGCCACAGCTCTAACATAAGGAAGATATTAAAAAGCATGACATTCAGAGACCCCATACAAACACAGGAATGTAATTAAATATGAAATACAACAAATATTTATTATTATAGACACTCTGCTGTGAGGGATTGTATAGGGAGTAGAGGTAGGCACTACAGAAAGTAAGGGAAGGAGAGGGACCAGTGCCTGTTCTTAAGAAAATAGAAAGAGAAAAAAAAAACACAAAACTTGCAGAAGAGCATGCAAAGTGCTGTTTGAGTGTTTAAGGAAACATCATTTCCTTTTGGAAGATCAGATTGTTTAGAAGATATACCCATTTCAGCTGGATCTTGAAGGATTCATCAGGTAGAAATAAGAATGTAAAGTCATTCCATCCAGGCAGAGGGTATGAGCAAGCCTTTGCTCACACAGGTGAGCAAGTGCATGGTAACTAATCCTCATCTGTAAAATGGGGCTAATAATAGCACCAACTCCCAGAGTTGTTGTGTAGATACAATAAGATAATCCTCTTTGCAAACCTTAAAGCACTCTATAAATTCTAGCTATCCATTTTATAACATAGAGATAATAACAGCACCTACCTCTCAGGGTGTTTGTGAGGAAAAAATGAGATAATACTTGTAAAATGCTTTGCTAAGCACATAGGAACCAAAAATCTAGTCTTCCATGATTGGTTGACTAGCTAGATCTCTTAAGAAAAAAAGAGGATGTACCTTTCCTATCCACAAAGGATACAATAGGAAGAAAGACAAAAACCCCCTATGATTTAATTTGACCTATTCTACTATCCGTGTGTGGATGAGGACTTCCTGCAGCAGGACAAGGGAAGGACTAGGAGGAAAAGAGATTTATTTTCTCTTTCTTGTGGTAGTGGACCCCAGATGTCAGCCTTTTCATTTAGATAGATATTCCTTGGGCTTTCTTTTGAAGAATACCTTTTGAAAGAAGGTAAACTGGAGGGGACCAAAGAAGCCTATGTTATTTATATAACAGATCTTTATCAAGTCTAATCAAGTGAACAAACATTTATTAAATACTTCCAATATGTCAAGCACTTTGCTTTGTGGTTGGAAGATGTTAGCCTTATCACCTGGTAATTCATGTATACTTGAAGGGGAATATGGAGATCAAGTATTCTATCTTCATAATGGGACCCTCTACCAAGTAGCTGTAGTCTGTACGATTAGCCGGATTAGAAGCAGCTCATCCTTTATCTCCATTAATATTGCCAGGAAGTCCGGGTAACCACCACTTCGGACAAAATGATAGTTGGTGTGTGGGTAGATTCAATGTTGTTCAGTGAGAAAAAGGAAATGCTATTTGTTTTAAGGTTGTCTCTGCCATCTCTGACCACCATCTAGTGCAGAGTCTGCTGCTTTTAATGTAGCACAAACTTTGTCTACTTTTTTTTTAATCTGCCTGAGAGTTCTATAAACTGCAATCCTTCCACTTAAAAAAGATAGGGACCCTGTGCAGAGTCTGCTGCTCCTGAGATCCCAGGCAGTGGAGACCCCACTTTATTGTGTTTATTTTCTTTTTCAGTCTTAGTGAGTGATCTGTAAGCATGAATCCTTCCCCTTAAAAGCTCCGTGCCAGTCACTGAGAGCTCACCCTTGGCACTCTCCCACATATTGTTATAGTTCTGAAGGATTCTCCAAGGAGTTGTGGTTACACCTGGTTGGAGAGGAGCTGATCATGTCAGCTGTATAAAGAACTTTACAAGGGGTTGTGATTTCTTGCCAGTTCCATGCCCGTCTTGACTGTTGTTGCCTGTGGGTATGGGATTGAAAGGGATACCTCTCCCTTTTATAGCCATGGCCTTTGCCTTGCTTTTGTCTTTTTTCATAGAGAACTATCAGAACATCAACATTCTTAGGCAGTTTGTCTTTATTTAATCAAGTAGTTTTAGTGAAGCCTCTTTTTTTTTTTAAACCTCGGTCATATTCTGGACTCTCTGAACCTTCCTTCATTTGGAGTAGAAGCAGTTAGGTAAACCCAAGTGACATCATCATCATCATCACTAGCACTTATATAGTGCCTTTTCTGTGCCAGGGGCTATGTTAAGCATTTTACAAATATTATTTTATTTGATCCTCACTACAACCTGGGTGTAGGTGCCATTATTACCCCCTTTTTACAGTTGAGGAAACCGAAGCAAACAGAGGTTAAATTTTGACCAGAATCACATAACTAGTAAGTGTCTAGGGCTGGATTTGAGCTCACATCACCCTGATTCCAGGCCCATAGCTCCATTCAAGTTTCACCTGTGAAAGTTTTTGATGGAATATGCAACATTCTCTAATCATTGTTCCCCTGCCTCTCTCCTGACAGTAGCAAAGTGGTATTTTTGACCCCATTATTTGTCTTCTAGACGGATCATATTAATTAATCTGACTTTGGATATTGTTTAGTATTGCTTTTATTTACATTATTGTAAGTAATCCACCAGGTGGTGTGGGTGAGCTAGGCAGGTTGGGCTGTCAGTCATTCCTGAGTTTCAGCACCTGTCTGGGCATGCTCAGACTTCAGCAACGTGCTCCTCCTTTGCATGTGTCACTTCTCCAGCTGCTTGGAGGATGGTTTGCCCCTTCCAAGCAGCTTATATCCCCTCCCTTCACAAGAATATGACATTCTTTCAAACCCAAACATCATTCTGCGGGAAGAGGGAAAGGAAAATGCCTTCCTGAGCTCACATTAGGTTCTGGAGTTAGTATTATCATCTGTCTGTGTGTGTTTATGCATATGCATATTTACTTATTTTGCTATTCATTCATTTATTTGTTTGTATCTGAGGTTTTTTTAATTCTTAGCCACACTTACACCGGTTCATTCCTAGGCCTTTCACTTTGCCACAGTGACTCAGCCCCATAGACCACATATTTCATCTCTAAAGCAAGAAAACCTCTCTCCTTTCCCTTTAGGTAAAGTAGCACTAAATAAAATGACACAAGTTAGAAATCCTGCTGGTTAACAGAGTTTTCGTGGTTGTTAATTAAATTCAAATTTTAAAGTAAAGAACAAGTTTGCTTGAACAGGTGGCTACTTTGACTAGATTAGAGAGGGAATAATCAGGGGCAATGAGATCCGTCCTGCTCTCTTGGAGGCTCTTACCATCTCAGGGCTTCAGATCCTTGAAGATGTTCCTCATATTGGTGGCTGCTTGTAGTACAGAATCCATCTCAATCCTCTGGCAGGGCCTCATGGCTTACTTTTCAGTTGTTGTTCCCAATCAACTTCCATAGGACTGGTCCCCACCCCCCCCCATGCCTGGAATTCTCTCCCTCCTCATCTCTGCCTCCTGGCTTCTTTCAAGTCCCAGCTAAAGTCTTACCTTCTCTGAGATGCCTTTCCTGATTAACCTTAATGATAGTTCCTTCTCTTAGTTGATTATTTCCAATTTATCTTGTATATAGCATTTTTTATATATTGCATGTTATCTCTTTCAATAGACTGTGAGCTTCTTGAGAGTCAGGACTTTGCAATTCCATTGTAATTCCATGCACCGTGCCTGATACTTAGCTGTTGTTCAATCTTTGGGAAACTGAGGCAAATAGGGTTAAGTGACTTGCTTAGGGTTACACAACTAGTAAGTGTCTGAGGCCAGATTTGAACTCAGGAAGATGAATCTTCCTGACACCACGCCTAACACCCTAACACGCCTAACAGTGGCACTGTGCCACTTAGCTGCCTTTACTGGTATGTAATAGGTACTTAGTGAATACTTACTGACTGACATTGCCTCCTGCACATCAGTGTTTTGTCTTGGTTATGTCATACCAAAAAGTGATGATGACACAGGTCTCAGCATCATACCATACCATCCATGCATGTGTCTGAAAATCTTACACTTCCCAACATGATTTAGGAACTATGAACCGAACGATTATCATTCTTCCGGAACCCTGTAGATTACAACTATTGAACAAATAAATTTGTGTGGTAACCTTTTTCTCTTTTTCTCTTTTTCCTTGCCTCCCCACACCTAACAGAAGCCTGGAATGGTTCCCCCCCAGCCTGCAGAAGAAAATCAGACTTCCTTATTGCCACCCGGCTGGCAAAGCTACCTGTCTCCTCAGGGCCGCCGATACTATGTCAACACAACCACCAATGGTGAGTACAACTCGAGAAAACATCATGTCCTTACTTCCCAGTGTTCATACATCTTTAATTCTTTATCCTCTTAAGTTTCTGCTGAACAGACTGGTTACCCCTAAAATGCATGCTAGGTGGTAGATTTCTATCTATTTTAATATAAAATAGATTTTTTTTATATCTATTTTATATCTATTTTGAGAACACTTTTAGAGTAAGGGTTGCACTAGGGGGCTGATGTGGGTCCAGATTTGAAGACTGTACAGTGCCAGGTTATGTATGCTTGGTGATGTGATTGTTGTTGTAACCAAGTTGGGGGAAAAACAAATAAATATAATGAAAGTACCTAGGAAGTAATAGAATGAAAGGAATGGGAGGACTGAAATAAAGAGACAGACAGGGTTTTTTGTTTTGTTTTGTTTTTGTGGGAGGGTAAGATTATGGATGTACTCACCAAAGAAGTTTATTCTTAACTTTTGCCCCTATCCAAAGCCTACTGATCCTACAGGGCCGACGTTCAGGCCTCTGCCTTTGTGAAGCTTTCCCTGATGTGCCATGTCCATATGCCTCCTGTAGCCAGCCCCTAACACCTAATTTTCTCCTCTACTCTCATCTCAACTGGTACCAGGCTGCAATATTCATACAATTTATTATCTTTTTTTTTTTGGCTGGGCACTGGGATTAAGTGACTTGCCCAGGGTCACACAGCTAGTAAGTGTTAAGTGTCTGAGGTCGGATTTGAACTCAGATTGTCTTGACTCCAGGGCCGGTGCTCCATCCACTGTGCCATCTAGCTGCCTCCTACCATTTACTATCTAAGGAAAGATCTGAGACCCTAAGGGCAAGGCAGCCCTGTATTTTGTTCCAATACAAGGAGATAGCTAGCAGTGTTCTCTGCCCCTTTCTATAATACTTGATATTTTCCTTGACCTCTTCCAAAGCCTTGCTTTTAGGAGGCTAGAAGATTTCTCTTTGTAAAAAAGAGTTCTGGATTTTCTAAGAATAGGGTAATAAAAGGCCTATGGACTATACAAATAAAAAGTTTCTTGAAAACAAACACATCAACAAGTTATGACAGACCTCTGAGACTTCAAGGAATACTGTATTTTTTCTGCTTCTTGGAATATCCTCTCATTTATTTTTCACTTTAGCAAATCCTACTTGTCTAGTTGTCAGTTTTTTAGACCAGATTGCCCAGGTCTAAGATAAATAGTGTGGAGCTAACAATATTGCTTTTTTTTTCTATTCCTGTGGCTGAGACTTGTCAGGAATAGTTTGCTTTCACCCAGAAAGGAGCCCAAATACCTTCACCATTCTTCTCTAAGTCTCCTTAAACTCTCCTTCATACTGTCACATTATGATAAGCAGAATTTTGTACCTTTTTTGCCAACCTGTTAATTCCTTTCCAATTTTTTGTTCCACATCTCTCATTTCTTTTCCCACTTTTTCTCTCTCTAGCATTCTCATTTCATTTACTAAAACTTTTTACACTCTTGCTTCATCTCTTCCAGATATTCCCATTGAATTTGTGCCCAAGCTGTGTCTTCTTTCAGGCTTTGCTTGTACATACTTTGGGGCCAGTTCTTCAGGGTTTGTGTCTTGAATGTCTCTGTCACTATAATAGCTTGTTATGGTAGAATTCTTTTTAAAATTTGCTCATTCTTTCTGCCTGCTTTGGACTTAATGTTAGGTTGGGCTTTGCACACTTCTGGAGAGAAAGTCTGGGCTGGTACTACTGCCAATTTCTTGGGATATTGAGTGTTGTTTTATTCCAGAATTTCACCACCTACGCACTGAGAATACAAGAGTCAAAAAGCTCTTCCTACCCTTGAGGAGCTCACATTCTAATGGGGGTAGACAACAAGCAAACAAATGTGTACAAACAAATAGATATATACAGGATAAATAATTAACAGAGGGAAATTACTAGAATTAAGAAATATTGGGAAATGCTTCCTGTAGTAAGTGATATTTTAGTTTAGATTTGAAGAAAGCCAGGGAAGCCAGGAGGCAGAGATAAAGATGAAGTACATTCTAGGCATAGGGGACAGCCAGAGAAAATACCTGGAGCCAAGAGATATGGGGTGGCTTGTTTATGTAATAGCCAAGAGACTGGTGCTTCTGGATCAGAGTAAAGTGTCAGAAGATAGGAAAGATGGCAGGATGTGTATGGGGAGAGGGGTAAGTTGTTGGGGACAGAGAATTTTATGTTTTGTCTTGGAAGCGATAGGGACCTACTTCAGTTTATTGTGTAGGGGATGATATGGTTTAATCTGAACTTTAGGAAGTTACTTTTGCCTCTGAACTGGAGTGGGGAGAAACTCATAGCAGCAGACCAACCATAGTTCAGGGTTGAGGTGATGAGAAGCTATCAGGGTAGTAGAGAGAAGGGGGCATATTTGAGTGATGTTGCAAAAGTGAAGTCAACAGTAGCTACTGAGACAAGGATATGAAAGGCTTTCAAAGCTAAGCATTGGAAGTTATATTCAATCCCAGAGTAAATAAGAAGCCATTGGAGTTGATTAAGTAAGAGAGTCACGTGGTAAAATCCATACCAGCATATAGGATAGACTGGAGTGGAAAGAGACTTGAAAGTAGGGAAACCAGTTAGGAGGCTGTTTAAAAAAAAAAAAGTAATGAGAACCTGAACTATTGTGGCAATTGTGTGAGTAGAGAATTTCCGGGGTTGAATGCAAGAGATGTGGAGGTAGAAATGGCAATGTTTGGCAACTGATTTGGTACGAGGAGTGAGAATGAGAAGTCCAAGATGGTCATTAGACAGTTTGGAAGAGGAGAGGGTGTAGGGCACACACTTTTATTGAAGTCACACAGTAGTACTAGATACTAGAGCTGAGATTTAAACAGATGAGGGAATTTGTCCAGCAAAGTTATCTAAGCTTTCAAAATTTATGGAATGAATGATTGAACATATTGCATGCTAGAAACATTAAAATAATCAGAAAAATCATGGTAGTTCATTGAAATAAAAGCATAGAGTATTGCACTTTCACCTAAAAGAAGGAAAGCATAATAAGACCATAGTAAGCTCTTATGGCAAGAGGCCATAAGAGTGAATTATTTTGGGTGGTGGGTGAATTATTTTAATTTTGTTTTTACAAATGTAGCCCTACAGAAGCATTTTATTTTTTGGGCCCATATGCCAGACAGTTGGTGTTTTTACTTGATTTCTTGTTTTAATTTTTCTTTAAACTAGGTGATTCTCATTTAGCCTATTTTATTACACAAGGAATTAATGTGAGTTTCAGGGTAATTTTTTCCAGTAAAACACTTTTAACAGCTTTTCAGGAGCTTTTATTTGTTACTAAATAATTGGATACACCCCAAACTCTCACAAAGAAGTATAGCGCTAGCAATTCTGAGTTAATAAAAGCTGGCCTGAGAGACTTCCACACCTTAGGTATTAATCTATTTTCTTCTGGTCCATCTGTGTTCAACAAACGTGAGAGCTTCACAAATGTTTTTATTCAGCACATTCTCTTACTTTAATAGGCTTTCTATTTTATGCTCATACCCATTTCTTATTTTAGTATCCTGAAAAAAAAGGATTGTGGTAATTGGGGTGTTGGACTGAATGTACACAAGACATTTGCTTATGTGTATCTGGCTTTGTTGTTGCATTTTTCTCTGGACACATCAATATTTTCTTAGCTGTAATGTTTTTTGTCTGAAGGGGTAGGTGGACCCTTGTCCCGATCTCCTCTGTAAAGTCTCAGAGGCTTTTTTTTTTTAGTAGGAACTAACAATAATGACATATGTTTCAAAGGAGGCATGTAAGATGATCTTGAACCTTGAATGTTGGAAAGAAGCTTGAGAGATCATTTCATCCAGCCTCATTTAGCATAGAAGGCAACTGGGACTTAAGAGTGTTGAACTGTTTTTCAGTTGTGTCCAGCTCTACATGACTCCATTTGGGGTTTTCTCAGCAAAAATACTAAAGTGGTTTGCCATTTCCTTCTCCAGCTCATTTTACAGATGAGGAAACTGAGGCAACAGGGTAAAGTGACTTGCTCAGGGTCACACAGCTGTTAAGTGTCTGAGGCTAAATTTGAACTCAGGAGGATGAGTGTTCCTGACTAGGTCTGGCACTCTATCCACTGCACCACTTAGCTGGCCAAAACTTAAAGAGCTGAATTGAACTAGTCATGTTTATGCTGGAGGTAGAGTTAGAGCCCAAGCGTCTGGAATTCTGTTCTAATACAATTTCTACCATATTGTGCTGCCCCTCAAATGAAGTTGTCAGGAGTGAGAAAAGTATTTTGACTATTACAGCTGTGTGTGTGTGTGTGTGTGTGTGTGTGTGTGTGTGTGTTTCTATCACAATTTTAATGGTTGTCCCTGTTAAAGGAATGAAAAGTTCTAAAGAATATTCTTGTCATTTGCTTATTTGGAGATGGTATATTATTAACAAAAGAAGTATATTGTGTAACTAGAAATCATAGAATCACAAGATCATAGATTTATTGTTGGAAGAGACATTAGAAGCCATTTGGTCAAACCTCCTTGTTTTATAGATTAGGAAACAGGTCATTTGAAGTTGAGTCATCTGTCCGAGGTCACACATATAGTAAATCAGTGATCTTACTGATTTGAGCTCCCCATAATGCATTATAATAACAGTAGTTTACATTTATATAACATAATTGCAAAGTGCTTTCACATATGTCATCCCATTTAATCCTCCCAACAACTCTATGTGGATGCATGACAAGTATTATTATCCTTCTTTTATAGGTAAGAAAATTAGAGAAGTAAATTAGGACAAGGTAAGGTACCTTTCAGAAAGTTACAAAACTGGTAAATGATGGAACTAGATCATAGACCCAGGTGTTCTGACTCAGAGTTTGGTGTATTGTAGAGCTAAAGTTTCAGTGTATCTCATTTGGATTTAGAGTATGAAGACCTGGTAAACTATATGGCTTTGCCACTTAGAGCAAGCTTTGTGAGCTTGAGTAAAGCACTAAACTTCTCTGAAACTGTGTCCTCATACAGCTCAAAGT